AGCAGGTCGGGCAGCATCTATGGAGAGAGGAAAGTGAGTTAATGTTTCAGGTTGATGACCTTTCGTCACATGAACACCAGAAGTGAACCTGATCGTGACTGCATTGACTGTAGCATCTACAACAACGCATTGTATTTCCAACAAAGGTCACTGAATAGAGACGGGCCAGTCTTTCTCTGCCAGGTGGTACATTTACCCACTGAGCTGTGAAAAAACGAAAAAGAGTCTGTGGTTGGGTGCTTTTTTCACAGATCTACTTTCAATTATTTTTGCATAAATGTATTTCTCGGAATTCTCGTCATTCTTCAGCATATTCTGAGAAGTAGAGTGTGTAGCACCAGCATCAGTAACCACTCTACCAGTGTCTGCAGTGCTAATTTTAGGCACGGCCACAAAAAACAAATCCTGTTGAAAAGTGAGCAGTTCTGTACTAAGTGGTGCTTAGGAATCATAGAATTATACAGCACAGAAGAAGGCCATTCGGCCCATTGTGTCTGCGCCGGCTCTTTGAAAAGAACTATCCAATTCAATCCCACTCCCCTACTCTCTCTCCATAGCCCTGCAAACTTGTCCTCCCCAAATGATTATCTACTTCTCTCTTAAAAGTTGTTATCTATTCGGTTTCCACCACCCTTTCAGGCAATGCATTCTGGAACAACTTAAATTAGCTTTCTGGACTATGATCCAAACTCCAACTGTGAGGAGATGCTGGACTTCCTCGAATCCAAAATCGAGGGGATACGTTCAGCCACCTCTGCCCCGTCCACAGCCACACTCACATCACCTCACCCTCATGACCCACCCACCAACCATCCCCTCCCATACTCCTTCGACCCTATTTCTCCCTCCTCCCTCACCACGAGTGTCCGCAAACTCAAACCCACCACCTGCTCCCTCGATCCCATCCCCACCTCTCTCCTCATCTCCCAGCTCCACCTTCTGGCCCCTCTCCGGTCTAACGTCATCAACCTCTCCTTGTCCACTGGTTCAGTCCCACCCCCCTAAAAACAGCCGTCATCACACCCATTCTGAAAAAATCTTCCCTGGATTCATCCCTTCTCTCCAGCTACCACCCCATCTCTATCCTCCCATTCCTCTCCAAGGTCCTGGAACAAGTCATCGCGTCCCAGCTCCGCTCCTTTCTTTCTCGCCATTCCCTCTTGGAGCCCCATCCAATCCGGCTTCTGCGCTGCCTACAGCATGGAACCAGCCCTGGTCACAGTCACTAATGACATTCTGAACATCTGTGATCAGGGCTCCCTCTGCCTCCTTGTCTTCCTCAACCTCTCTGTCGCCTTCGACACTGTCGACCACTCCATCCTCATACACCGCCTCTCCTCTTTGACTTAATTTTCACGGACCTGCCCTTGCCTGGTTTGATTCCTATCTCTCTCACCATCTCCACTTTGTTGCCTCCAACAATTTCTCCTCCAGCCCCCACACTGTCACATCTGGCGTCCGCCAGGGCTCTGTCCTTGGCCGTCTCCTCTTTAATATCTACATGCTCCCCCTTGGTGACATCATCCGCAGACGTGGGGTCAACTCCCATATGTATGCGGATGACACCCAACTCTATCTTTCTGCTTCTACCCTCAACTCCAGGACCACTGCTGTCCTGACAGACTGCCTGTCGGACATCAAGTCTTGGATGAGGGCAAATTTCCTACAGTTGAATGTGAACAAGACTGAGGCCCTCCTGATTGACTCGCGCCAGCGCCTCAGCACCTCAGCCTCTGGCAGCAACAAACCTCCATGGTTGCACACTTCAACTCACCGCCAGTCAGGAACCTGGGTGTCTTGTTCGACCCTCAACTGGCTTTTCTTCCCCACATCCAAGCCATGACCCGCTCTGCCTTCCCTCACCTCCATAACATCGCCCGACTCCGCCACTACCTCACCCCTCAGGCCACTGAAACTCGTGTTCATGCCTTCATCACCTCCAGGCTCAACTATGCAAGCTCCCTGCTTGTCAGCCTTCCCAACTCCTCCATCCACAGGCTGCAGATAATCCAGAACTCTGCAGCCCGTGTCCTCTCCCGCACCAAACTCCATGAGCCCATCTCCCCTTCGACCATGCCATCGGCCACCCCCCTTCCCCTCTCCTCCCCCCACTGACCTCTGCTCGGGTCTGAAATGCTGTACACTGTCCAGCACCTTGGGACATCCTCCCGACGTGAAAGGCGCTATACAATTGTAATCTTGTTGTTGTTGATCACTTTGTGGTTTAAGAGAGTATGGATGTCCGGAGAGCTTTGAAAAATCTTTGTGGAGTGACTTTCTACGAGCCCAAGAAATGGAATAGAGACAGACACACGTGTGGAAAGAGGAGACAAGTGGGGAGTTGGCAACAGGGAAAGAGTGGAAGAAACCCTGAATTTGCACCGAGTTTGGGTGGTGTTCCTTTGCACAGACTCCTCCTCCGGTGGAGTGAGCCTCCTCCTCAGGGAAGGCATGTTGCAGTGGATGTGCTCAGTGCCTGGCTGACCTGGTTGTGTTCCTGGGGGCATCTGGAATATTTGCCCTGCGCTAACACCGCGATCCACTGCCCTGTCCACCACGTTTTCTTCCCAGGACTTCACGCAGACCATGAGCAATCCTCAGTGACCCTATCCCCTCCCCCCCCACCCACCCCCTCCTCACCCACTGTGTCTCTCACCCCCGCACGCCCCCGTGTGTCTCTCACCCCCGCACCGCCCTGTGTGTGTCTCACCCCCGCACCGCCCCCTGTGTGTCTCTCACCCCCGCACCGCCCCGTGTGTCTCTCACCCCCGCACCGCCCCTGTGTGTCTCTCACCCCCGCACCGCCCCCCGTGTGTCTCTCACCCCCGCACCGCCCTGTGTGTCTCTCACCCCCGCACCGCCCCCGTGTGTCTCACCCCCGCACCGCCCTGTGTGCCTCTCATCCCCGAACCGCCCTGTGTGTCTCTCACCCCCGCACCGCCCCCGTGTGTCTCTCACCCCCGCACCGCCCCCGTGTGTCTCACCCCCGCACCGCCCTGTGTGCCTCTCATCCCCGCACCGCCCTGTGTGTCTCTCACCCCCGCACCGCCCCTGTGTGTCTCTCACCCCCGCACCGCCCCCCGTGTGTCTCTCACCCCCGCACCGCCCTGTGTGTCTCTCACCCCCGCACCGCCCCCGTGTGTCTCACCCCCGCACCGCCCTGTGTGCCTCTCACCCCCGCACCGCCCCGTGCGTCTCTCACCCCCGCACCGCCCCGTGCGTCTCTCACCCCCGCACCGCCCCGTGCGTCTCTCACCCCCGCACCGCCCCGTGCGCCTCTCACCCCCGCACCGCCCTGTGCGTCTCTCACCCCCGCACCGCCCCGTGCGCCTCTCACCCCCGCACCGCCCTGTGCGTCTCTCACCCCCGCACCGCCCTGTGCGTCTCTCACCCCCGCACCGCCCAGTGTGTCTCTCACCCCCGCACCGCCCTGTGGGTCTCTCACCCCCGCACCGCCCTGTGCGTCTCTCACCCCCGCACCGCCCAGTGTGTCTCTCACCCCCGCACCGCTGTGTGTCTCTCACCCCCGCACCGCCCCGTGTGGCTCTCACCCCGCACCGCCCCGTGTGTCTCTCACCCCCGCACCGCCCCGTGTGCCTCTCACCCCCGCACCGCCCCGTGTGCCTCTCACCCCCGCACCGCCCCGTGTGCCTCTCACCCCCGCACCGCCCCGTGTGCCTCTCACCCCCGCACCGCCCCGTGCGTCTCTCACCCCCGCACCGCCCCGTGCGTCTCTCACCCCCGCACCGCCCCGTGCGCCTCTCACCCCCGCACCGCCCGTGCGCCTCTCACCCCCGCACCGCCCCGTGCGTCTCTCACCCCCGCACCGCCCTGTGCGTCTCTCACCCCCGCACCGCCCTGTGCGTCTCTCACCCCCGCACCGCCCGTGTGCCTCTCACCCCCGCACCGCCCCGTGTGTCTCTCACCCCCGCACCGCCCCGTGTGTCTCTCACCCCCGCACCGCCCCGTGTGCCTCTCACCCCCGCACCGCCCCGTGTGCCTCTCACCCCCGCACCGCCCTGTGTGTCTCTCACCCCCGCACCGCCCCGTGTGTCTCTCACCCCCGCACCGCCCTGTGTGCCTCTCACCCCCGCACCGCCCCGTGTGCCTCTCACCCCCGCACCGCCCCGTGCGTCTCTCACCCCCGCACCGCCCTGTGTGCCTCTCACCCCCGCACCGCCCCGTGGGTCTCTCACCCCCGCACCGCCCCGTGTGTCTCTCACCCCCGCACCGCCCCGTGTGTCTCTCACCCCCGCACCGCCCCGTGTGCCTCTCACCCCCGCACCGCCCCGTGTGCCTCTCACCCCCGCACCGCCCCGTGCGTCTCTCACCCCGCACCGCCCTGTGTGCCTCTCACCCCCGCACCGCCCCGTGGGTCTCTCACCCCCGCACCGCCCCGTGTGTCTCTCACCCCCGCACCGCCCCGTGTGTCTCTCACCCCCGCACCGCCCTGTGTGCCTCTCACCCCCGCACCGCCCCGTGTGCCTCTCACCCCCGCACCGCCCCGTGCGTCTCTCACCCCCGCACCGCCCTGTGTGCCTCTCACCCCCGCACCGCCCTGTGTGTGCCTCTCTCTTTCTCTCTCTCCTCGCTGTTCTGCCTCCTCTAACACGCCTTCCTCTCACCCCCCCACCCCCACCCCCCACAGTGCTGCCTCTCGCTCTCTGCACATCTCTCTCTCCCTCCTCTCATCCTCTGCGCAGTGCTGTACCCCTCCCCTCCGGGTGTGGTGGTGGTGTGTGTGTGTGTGTGTGTGTGTGTGAGTGAGTGTGTTTCACTTTCCACACTGCTGTCTGCACACACCCTCTCCACATCGCCGCTGTCTCTCTCTCTCTCTCTCTCTCACACACACACACACACGCAGACACCCCCTCATCCGCACGGCTGTGTCTGGATGACCGACTCCGCGCGCTCCTCTTTGCCTCTCGCGCCAAACGCCCCGGGGGGTCGCCGTCTCGGGTGAGAGGGGTTTCAGAGCCGCGGGGAGGGGGTGGGGAGGGGAGGGGTGGGTGGTGGGTGGGTGGTGGGGGAGAGGAGGGCGATGGGGCTGCAGCCGCTGGAGTTCAGTCACTGTTACCTGGACAGTCCGACCTTCCGGGAGAGGCTGAAAGCTCACGAGGCGGAATTGGAGAAGACCAACAAGTTCATCAAAGAGCTGCTGAAGGACGGGAAGGCGCTGGTGGACGCCACCAAACGTGAGTTTGCCGGCGGCGGCGGCGGGGCTTCGAGAAGCAGCGACTGGTGTTGTGAGGAGTGGGGGGGTTAGGGGAGTGGGGGGTTAGGGGAGTGGGGGGTTAGGGGAGTGGGGGTTAGGGGAGTGGGGAGTGGGGAGGGTAGGGGAGTGGGGGTGCGGGGGAGTGGGGGTTGGGGAGTGGGGGTTAGGGGAGTGGGGTTAGGGGAGTGGGGGGTTGGGGGAGTGGGGGTGCAGGGGAGTGGGGGTGCAGGGGAGTGGGGGGTGGGGAGGGTAGGGGAGTGGGGGTTAGGGGAGTGGGTGGTAGGGGAGTGGGGGTTAGGGGAGTGGGGGGTTAGGGGGGTGGGGAGGGTAGGGGAGTGGGGGTTAGGGGAGTGGGTGGTAGGGGAGTGGGGGTTGGGGGATTGGGGGTTGGGGGAGTGGGGGTTGGGGGAGTGGGGGGTTAGGGGAGTGGGGGTGCAGGGGAGTGGGGGTGCGGGGGAGTGGGGGTGCGGGGGAGTGGGGGGTTAGGGGAGTGGGGTGTAGGGGAGTGGGGGTGCAGGGGAGTGGGGGTGCAGGGGTGTAGGGGAGTGGGGGGGTAGGGGGGGTGTTGGGGAGTGGGGGTTAGGGGAGTGGGGGTGTGGGGGTGTAGGGGAGTGGGGGGGGTAGGGGAGTGGGGGTGGGGGGTTAGGGGGGTGGGGAGGGTAGGGGAGTGGAGGGGTGGGGGAGTGGGGGAGTGGGGGTAGGAGGATAGGGGTAGGGGAGTGAGGTTAGTGTACGGTACAGAGAAGCGCTGCCCTGCCCAGCCCCTGCCCAGCCAGCCCCTGCCCAGCCAGCCCCTGCCCAGCCAGCCCCTGCCCAGCCCCTGCCCAGCCAGCCCCTGCCCTGCCCAGCCAGCCAGCCCCTGCCCAGCCAGCCCCTGCCCAGCCAGCCCCTGCCCAGCCAGCCCCTGCCCAGCCCCTGCCCAGCCAGCCAGCCCCTGCCCAGCCAGCCAGCCCCTGCCCAGCCAGCCCCTGCCCAGCCAGCCAGCCCCTGCCCAGCCAGCCCCTGCCCAGCCCCTGCCCAGCCAGCCAGCCCCTGCCCAGCCAGCCAGCCCCTGCCCAGCCAGCCAGCCCCTGCCCAGCCCCTGCCCAGCCAGCCCCTGCCCAGCCCCTGCCCAGCCCCTGCCCAGGTCTGACTGATCTGATCACTTGATGGCGTTGAAGCTGCTGTGGATCGAAAAGCTTCAGTGGAAAGAAAACTTGTTGCACTTTGTGGCAAAACAAGTGACTTGAACTTAACTCAGATACTGTGCTCACCAGAGAGGGGCAGGAAGTATGAGCAGAAAATAGCTATCTGATCAGGTTTTGGTAAATCTTTTTTTCTCCCCCACCCCTGAAAGCTACATGTGTTATTTGAGTACCCCCTCTCCCCCCTCTGGTTCGCTGGCTGTGTTGTGATGGATGTTGGCTACAACTGAGGCACATTGCAAACCTTCTCCATTGTTTTTAAAAAAGAGTCTTCTTTCTAGATCACTTAAAAAAAAACCCTGGCCAATGCTTGTTTCGGCTTTATACGAATACACTTTATACGAATGATGTCCAAAATTCTTGTCCAATTTTGAACTTCAAAAGTGAAATCCCTTTGGAGTCTGGAGCTCGACTTGGTCTGGCTGAACCCTGAACCTGCTCACAATAATAATAATAATAATAATAATATCCTTGCATTTGATATAGAGCTTTTCACGTCGGGAGGACGTCCCAAAGCGCTTCACAGAACACACTGTTAAGTGAATTGACTGTATATTTGTGGGCGAACGCGGCAGCTAATTGCGCACAGCAATGTCCCACAAACAGTCGTAGATAATAAATTGGTCATTTTCAATCCACGACCGTTTGTGGGACATTGCTGTGAGCAATTGGCTGCCGCGTTTCGCCCACAAATATACAGTCAATTCACTTTACAGTCTATTCTGTAAAGCGCTTTGAGACGTTGAGAAGACGTGAAAAACACTATATCAAATGCAAGGATTATTATTATTATATAAGTAAATCCTGCAAAGCGCTTTGTTTATTGCTGAATTGCTGATTGATGTGCCAACCAACATCTTCATCCTATCCCAGTAGTTTTCACTGAGAAAGCTTAAAGACTCCTTACAGAGACCTAGTCTCTCCTTTACCACCTGGGATGTAAATTGCTTGAGCACGTTTTCCTTTCCTAGGATTGGATCTATGTTCTAACTCTAGGAAATGTGTGGAATGGTCACTTATCACCAACTGTATTTACAAACCATTTTAGATTTTAAACCAAGGGTTTATATTGGTACCAGGTAGTTGTAGGGCCAGATACAATTGGTAATATTAAGATGGCGCTGATAATAATTAATAATAATCGTTGCATTTGATCTAGAACCATATGTCCGAATGTCTCAAGTGCTTCACAGGATTTATTGTCATTTTTTTGACTTTGTACATGAATGGAGCAGCCAATATGTGCACAGCAATATCCCACATGGAGCCACGGGGAGAATGACTTCATTTTATCTGGGGGACTGTAGGCCAGGGAGAAATGCTCTTGTCTTTTCAAATGGAGTTATGAGATCTTTAATGCTTACCTGAATAGATCGTCAGGACCTTGGTTTAACATCTTATCTGAAGTACGGCACATCCGATAATACAGACCACCCTCCTATAACTGAATTGGAGTTTTACTGTGAGCTCAGTGTCAAAGTCTAAGAGCCTTTATGTATTTACAGAGTTGTGAATCCTCACAATGTTATCATGAGATTTATGAAAATTGCTGTCTTGGAATAGGTTGTAACCTCATGATTTCTGTCCGCTTCCTCCAGCCTGTCTGCTTGTTTGATTTTTTTTACGCACTTTGCTACTCACACTCCAGTCTAGGACTGGTGGGAAGTGCTGGATTGTCAAGAGGTGCCATCTAGGATAAAATGTTAAACCAAGAACTTGTCTGTCTGTTTTTGAGGTGGGAGTTAATATTCCATGACACAATTCAAAGGGCGTTTCCCGCAGTGTCTTGGCCAACAATCCTTTTGATAAATCGGTTGTTTGCCTTTTGAGTGTTTGTGACTTTGAGATGTTTCAGAACGATAAAGTGTTATAAAAATGAAAGTAAATTATTTCTTGAACTCTGCGTTTCCTGCCTGGATGTATTATTTATTTATTTTTTTTTGCAAAAAACATATTCTCGTTTAGGTTCCCTGAACAGTAAATTCGGTGTGAACTGGGGCAGCAAGTAGTCAGAAATTCATAAAATTAACTTCTGAAAACCTTTGCATTTAAAAAAAATTGGAAGAACAACAGTTTATTAAATAGTACCTTAATGTGTCGGTGGTGGGGTTGGGGTTGGGGAAGGGGAGAGGAAGCTGGAGAAAGGTGTCGAAAAGCACAGATGGGTTTGAAAGTGGAGAGGGTTAGCAGAAAGCAGAAAGATTCCACAATGGATTTCCAAAGAGCAGGGACAGAGTGTCTAAAGGGTTGCCCACTGATGGGAAAGTGGACTGGGGGATGTGAAGCCGACTGGTGTTTGTTGAGCAGAGGGAGCAGGGATGGTAATGTTGCAGGAGATTGCAGAGGAGTTGTGGGCTGAGGCCATGGGAGACGTTTGAATCTGAGGACGTGAATCTTCAATTCGATCCGCCTTGGGGATGTGTTGACAGCGGAGCCAAGTGCGGATGGGGGAACGAAATAAACAATAGGATTTGAGTCCTCTCTTTGGTACAGCAGAGATTTTCTTTACCTAAGACCAAAACCGTCAAAGTTCAAAATTAGACGGGTAAAATTCCTCCTGGGACTATATTTACTCTTATTAACATAGCCTTTCAGAGCTTCCAGATTTTGGAAATTCTTAAATATAGCCTTAATCTTGAAGCCAGTTTACTGTAAGTTCTTTTAAGAAATTGGTAAATTGACTTCAAACTAATGACTGAACACAACTCAATTTGCCCAAATTCTGGATGCTCCAAAGTGCAACGTTAACAGAGTATATCTAGTCCCAGGTGGAAGAGGGACTGTGTATACCAGCCTTGAATTGTCCTTTATACTGAATATGCTAATAAATTATTTTTTCACCCTCTCCCGATATTCACACCCATGGGGGATGGCAATACAAATTTTTTGCTGGATAGCCTATTTTAATTGCAAAATGTAGCAAAGCCCACTGAACAGTAGTATTAATCTTCAACAATTGTACATTGTAGAACTTGCAATATTTTCTCTAGATCATTTGCATGAATTATTTTCTGTTACCCCCTCTTCTTCTGTGGTTATTAATGGTAGTTCCCTACCCTTAAATGTTTTTCTATGACACTCAAGATGATTCAAAGGTCTGTTGATCAAAAGACCTCTGATCTTAAATATTTACCTTTCGGGAGGGATGCTGTAAAGAGTTATAGATAGTGCTAACTTGTCCTTACTGAAGCAGAGAGAACTTTTATCGCAACCTTTTAAAGGTGGCCATGTCTTCTTGTTTGGTTATGCAAAGTTTTATGAATGTCTACTGATGTGTAAACTTACGCACAGGAACAGAGCGAAACAGAAACAGCAAAACAGAAAATTGTTCACACAATGATGTGAAAATATTTCCAGAAATCACAATGTGTAATTCCCCAGTGTGGTACAACTCAGAGTTCAGTAATTAGATTGATAGAAAGGAGTTTTCCGGCCAATAATCCCTTGGATAAAAACAATTGGTCGTTCATTTCATGGCTATTGCTGGTACATCGCTGTGTGCATATCGTGTTTGCCTACAAAATAAATCGTCATTATGCTTTACAGTAAAACCGAAGCACTTTGAGACATCCCCCAGACGTGAAAGGCATAATATGAAATGCAAGCATTATTATTATTTGTGTATTAATCTGTTGAGAAATGCCTCTAAAGGCTGTTGCTAAATGTTTATTATGTTGCGGAAGGGTGTGTTATACTGCAAGCAGCTGTTTTTGATTAGTCTGAGAATGACTCATCTAAGCATAAATCGTGGGTTAATGTGTTACTTTAAAAATTGATTCCACACATACATCATTGA